AATTTTCAGCAGCCATTACTCCAGTCTTCAGTGTCACATGATCCTTATGCTGATCAATATGCTGATTTGGTCAATGTTGAAAACTGTTTTGGTGCTTAATATTTTTGTGGAAACGTGATACATTTTTACATTCTTAGGTTTAAAAGATAGAAAAAAGTCTTTACTGTTAATTTTGATCAATTTAATACATTCTTGCTGAGTAAAAGTATTAATTTCCTTCTTAAAAAAAAAAAATCTTACTCAACCCAATCATTTGAACAGTAGTGTGTTAATAGACTCGCACTTAAAACGGTCTAAAAATTATCAGTATGGATTTGTCTATGCCACACGCTTGCTTCTAATTTTTAAAAGGACTTTGTAAAAGTCTTTGCAACATGAATAATCAAGATATCAGCAATCCTGCATCAAACGTTAGCCGTCCTTAACTAACATTCAACATCTATTGGCAGATATGCATTCACACTGAAAAATAAAAGTAACTAAAACAACAGAAATAAATCGACAAACAGGAACACATCTACAAGTACCCTTGTTTCTGTGGGAGTATGTCTTCACCCTCATTTAAGAAAAATAAACATCAATCTCAGCAGCCATTACAGCTCAGGCTAGAGTTTCAATTCGAGCAGTCCAATCAGAGTGGAGTGTAACTGGGAAATAATTTGCGAGGTACAGGTGCTATACATTCATCTAAACACCACAAAACAGATTTAGATCTGAGATTAGACGTTTTCTCTGAAATAAATGGAAAAAAATTACTATTTAAGGTTCAAATCTTCAAGTAAAAATGTTCAAATCAAAGACAGCAGGTCTTAAAACTCCTCTCAAGGTTGGTTTACATTCGTCATTGTCATTTTTGTTTGTAATATCTCACTGACTGATGCTTGTAACCTCATTACGGTGATCTACTCGCTAACATGGAACTCACTGTTCTATTAATCCACTTCAGTCAGTACCATGGCTGGACTGTTACAAAGTATGTGAAGACATATGTGAAGACAGGATATGCTGAGGGAACTCAGCTGACTTTGTATATAGAAATTTTTTTTCCTATTCTTATTCACTACCCTGTTACCCAGAATACTGTGCACTGCTAGAGATTTTCACATCAAGTATCCGAAAACCTTTATCAAACCTTGTAAGGTCCACTTCCTGGAGTTTGAATGGAGATTAATAAGCACTGCGGAATGGGGACTAGGAGAGTTTGGGAAAAGGAGAGGGTGGAAACCTCTTATGAGGGGTCAGCCTGGTCTAGTACCCCTCAGATGGTACCTGTATTCTCCAGCAGTGTCTTGGGTGTGTTGGGTCTGTTTATGATCTCCACAAGCTGCTGTAAAACCACCGGGACATACGGCTGCATCTCAGAACCTAAAGAGAGAGAAAACTAGCATGTTAACCTTGAAAGTATGATGAAATTAGAGAAATTAATAACCGAAGATGATGATGAAACTCTCACCCATTTGAATGGATATTTCTCCAATGGCCCATGTTGCATTGTTGCAGACTGATATCAATTCTGGGTTCAGGTTTGTGCCTAAGATAGGCATGAAGTTAGCTAGAGAGGAGAGATTAGCACAAACAAATCAAAGTTTAAGTGCCTGAAGGTAAACAGAGATGGATCAAACTGAGAAAGTGTCAGTGAATAATAACTCCATACCAATGCAAGGTTTGACATGCTGGAAGCAGGCTTTGGTCAGATCTCCCAACAGAGCAAAAGAACTCTGTCGAACCTCTGGCATTTTATCCTGAGAAATACAACCATCAAAAGATTACCATTGTCACATTAGATTTCTCATAGCTGCACGTCCACACAAATCGTTTTTGGAGTTTGCATTATTTGCATCTCTTGCAATTCATCTGCAGCAGGCAAATGCAAATGTCATTCTGTGTATGTAAAGATTAGATGGTAAATTCAGAGAGACAAACACATTATACAGAGATGATGTTGTCTTCTATACCTCAGTCGTTACCTAGATAAAGTGGCAAACAGCTGCCGCTAGTATACACTGTGGCACTCATGTTGACACAAACATACAATGGTTTAGATCCAAAGTGTTTTCAACAATGATTATAATAATAAATGTTTCCTGAGCCGCAAATTTAGAGTGATTTCTGAAGGATCATGTGACACTGAAGACTGGAGTAATGGCTGCTGAAAATTCAGTTTGCCATCAAAGGAATACTTTACATTTTAAAATATATTAATATATTAAATAAAATATATTAGGTTAAACATACCATGCCTCAGTGCTACAATGTCTTGCTATGCTCTATAGTTACCTGCATGCACTGGTACATGAGAGTGAGAATGTTGCTACGGGCAACTAGCTGTTCAATGTTCCCTCCAAGACCCTCCGCTAATCCGCTGAGCAGATCCAGAGCCACAATCATGAAATCTTTATCAGGCGCTTCATGAAACTCAGGCTGACTCTGGTGGAGCTGTGAGACAGAGAAAGAGATCAAGTGATATTCACTATGATGGATTAAAGCAATCCTTGTTTTGATTCTAAATTATGTGCATTTCTTATTTTGCAACCTTTTCCACACTCTAGTAGTTTTTTAAGCTGACAGTATTACCGAGAGATGAGGGGGTTTGTGTGTATTTGTGTGGCTTCTCACCACAGCCTGGGCGAGTGTTTTCTGGACCAGGTTGACACAGCGCTGGTAGACAGGTTCACAGTATGGCAGGAAGCCGCTCTGCAGGGCAGTGGCCACAGATGAGAGACACTGAAAGAGGAATCAACAGAGTCATAATCAGGAACATGCATCAAAATGCTGGATTCAGAACAATACTAATATTTCCTGTGACTTCTGCTGAAATAGTTTTTCTCTGCTGGTTTTTCCAAATTGTTTATTTGTGCACACATACATATTGTTCAAAAGTTTGGGTTCAGCAAGATTTTTTTTCAGTAAGTTTGTTTTTGAAAGTGGATAATTTTTTTCAGAATTCTTTGATGAATAGAAAGCATTTATTATACCATAACAGACATTATTATTATAACATTATAAATGTCTTTACTGTCACTTTTGAATGATTTAAAGAGTCCTTGCTGGCTTAAAGTATTAATTTCCTTCAAAGAAATAAAATGAAATACATTCTTACTGACCCCAAATTTTTGAACAGTAGTTTATATAAATTAAGTGTTAGATAACTACCTCCAGT